ATATCACAATGATGGTGATAATCCTCTCATTACCCTCCACATGCTGTCTTGCACCAACAGTATGGTCACCTGTGTTGTGTCATCATTTCACAGTGCACTAAAGGTATTACTTTTACTTTCTTTTAAACCACAGTTCCATGTTTTCATTCTTTATAAAGCATCAGAATTATGGATTCCCATAGAAAGCCTCCAATGTCTGTTTAACCAAAGCTCCACTTATCTTTTCAGGCTCATCCACATATGTTTAAAGCAACCTTTTGACTAATCCACTGCAATTTAACACAGTTCCCTCTTCCCTAACATATTTATTTTCAGTTTTCAGCCCTCACCAGACAGCCTGATCTGAATTCTAACCTCTGTAGCTCTGTGGAAGATCCTTCGCTGTCATGCTTCTCTACAACAGGATTTAGAGGCTGCAGCTGTTGGAGCCTTCTTCTCTGGATCTCTGCTTCACATGAGACGCTTCTAAGCTTAAAGTCACCAACTCTCACCTTAGAGTGCTCCTTAAATCTTATAGCTGAGTCATTGGTTTGATCTTTTATACAAAACTAACTTTAATGTTTCTTTTAGTTTCTTTAAAAAAATTATCCAAAATGTTTAGATTTAAGTTCATTAGGACAGTCCAGTTAATATACAGTATTTACATATTTATCCTGTGATTTGTTTCACAAGTATATATTTCATAGTTTATCTAAGATAGAAAGTTTCTAAAAGTTTTAAGAAACAAGGTTTAAAAAGTGAGGCCTGTTTTTGTAACCCCTTTATTCTGATGCCCCCCAAACAAACTCACATAGATTGCTTCAGATGTCTCCTAATGATAGTGTCTCATTGTGATTAAAATAATAAATACAGCTTTTTTATGTAGAGCTAAGGGTTTCATTAAAGCAGCGTTAGAGAACAAGCGACTTTATAAGAATCAGTTGTGGAGCTGGACCCGTTTTGTGCTGGAGGGCTTCTTAAGGGGCTTCACAGCAGGGGCAGATCGAAATGGGGGGCCAGGGCTGGCCAAGGCCGCCTTGAGCCAATCATTGGCCACCCCTGTAGCAACCTTTACCATTTTTTTCTCTCAAGTAGAATATTCAAAACATTTAAATTTTTTATATATTAATTACTTGACAACAAAAAACACTGTGGTTAATTATGCTCATCAATATACCAACATTAGAGATGATTAGTACAGAATTCCTGCTCTTTCAGAACTAGATTTTGTGTTATTTGCCGTAAAGAGAAAATCACGTGTCTCTGCAAGTCATCTAAGAGTTTTCAATGAATAAGTATTTTAATAAAAACCTATTAAATTATCAATTTATGTAGATATTAGTACTTATAATTATCAATTTAAAGCAGAATGATATTAATAAAAGTAGAATTTTATCCAATATACCTTTTATCTAGCCCGATGTTTCAATATATGCATCTATTTAGTAGCAAAGGCTGTAGGAAACTATAGTTTGTCTTTATTTAGAAATATGGACGTTGTGCTTGTTCCTGTTGGAACAGTGTAGATTAATCCTGAGGTTCTGGTGCTTATCCACTTTTGGCCACCCCTCAGTGGACATTAGTGTCTGGCCACCCTTATAAAAAATTTCCTGGCTACGCCTCCGGTTCACAGACATAAGAATGAAAGTATTTTTCACTCATTTTAAAGTGTAGTTTCTAAACAATGGAGATAAGATTTGTGTTAGTAATTTACCATTTATAAATGTTAAGTTTTTTTTTTGATTGATGTGTGAGTCTGTTAAACCCTTATATTACCTGCCTGTTAAGCATCAGAACTAATGTTTTCCCAAGTAGTTTATCTAATTAGAACAGTTGCTCTGTGAGAATAAAAAGCCTTCTTCATTATGTTCATGGCAAAGATTTGGGAATGGAATGAGTCCTTGATCTAAAAACATAGTGTAATATTTTTATAAGGCTGGAGCCATGGAGCAACAAAAGATAAAAGATAATAACACAATGGCAGAAACAAAATCAAAACAGAGAATGAAAATAATTTAAAAATATAGGACAGGGAAATTAATATTAAAGAAAATAGACAATTTTAAACAGATGAGTTTTGAGTTGTGATTTGAAATGGGGAAGTAAGTCCATGTTTCTAAGTAGAGCGGGTAGAGAGT